TTGTAGGATTTGGTATAATGTAACACCAAATGTAAGTAAATATAAATGGCAAGAGGACAACTTGCTTTCATGAATGGCAAATGATCACTAATGATCAAATTATTGAAGACTTGACACAAGAGGAAATCTCTAAACATCTAGAGTTCTTGCATTTAAGAGGACGTATGTACATGGCAGTTTAGAAAAAGCAGGAGAAAGCATATGTTTCAAGGTGTGGAGAAATACAAAAACTTATCTCAAGCTGGGCAGGAATGTTAAGGCAACAAATGCAATTCCAATACAAGCTTAACTGAGTCTGTAAAAAATCATGGTCCGACGCAGATGGAATAGTCATTGAATATAATGTTTATCTGCCATCATGCTGAGCTACTTGGACTGGTTCAACACCAGTGGCAATTAAGTAAGTGGTAACTTCAGGACTTATGGCCAAAAATGTGTTGGATATCCTTAGCTGATAGAGATAGCCACACATCACCTCATGTAGTGTTCTAAAAGTGTACTTTGAGGGCCTCCTGAACTAATCACACTTGGGGATGGGGCCTGGGAAACATGCACATTCCAGAGCCTCCCACCTTCTTACACAGCCATTTATTAGGCTGGGTGGGAGAAAACTGAGAGGGAGAGGGTAGGAATCTACTTATTTTACAATATGGCCAGATAGGAAAGAATCCTGAGAGAAGGTGAGACTTGGGATAAATCTTCATGCTGCCTTCCTCCTCTGGTCTGCCTCCCCTCCCTGCCCTCTTAGCAACTGTTAAAATGAATGTCAATGGCAGGAAATATCACAAAGCGGTTAAAATAAAGAGTGAAGACAATAGAATGGGGGGATGTTTCTGTGGATTGCGAGCAATATCAATGGATCACAAATATGAATATGGCTCCTAAGGACTTCTTTAGCAGCAGCAAGTGGACTCATTTTCATCTCGCAAGGTGTGAAACTAGGCCCAGTTTCCTTCATGGAGGACATCATAGCCAGTAATCTGAGAGAAATAAAGTGACCTTTGCCTTTTCAGAAACATAGTTCTTCTCTCTCAAGAAAAGATTTAATAGACTATTTTAATTTAATAAAAGTCACTTTAGAAAGTAAAGTGACCTTGCCTTTTCAGAAACACAGTTCCTCTTTCTCAAGAAAACATTTGATAGAATATTTTAATTTAGGAAGAGAAATAGGAATTTTGAGTGACATGGAAATTGGCTTGTCCCAGAGATTCATGACATTTCCTGCTGCTAGCATTGAGGGTGAAAGAAAGGGTCCTAGACAGCCTGCTATGGTTGGTGCCACAACATGAAGACATAGCTACTAGACAGCTCAAGTAGCTCAGATAAAGTGCTAGTGTCATATCGTGGTGAGATGCGATCTCAGAAGGGTATACTTCCTGGTCCTTGTTTTGACTATAAAGTAGTTTGACAGGATGGAAACTTACAAATTAGTATTATTCAGTGACCACCTGTTGACCCAGGCCTTGTTTAGGATGTAAGGTTTCTATAAACTAATCCTTTTCTGACAACAACTTACAGGTCAAATCCCATTTTAATGAATGTAATTTTAACATAATAAAACTATTTAGTAAAATTATCTTGTAGAACAGATGTATCTACAAATCCCTGTTCACAAAGCACTCAATCTATTAAATTAAGATGCTGTTGTTTGAATTCAGTATTTATGCTTTCTACTTTAATCATGTTCAACAGCAAGATATTGCCGTGCAAAAAAAGAGGAGCCTGTGATTTTTGCCTCTTGAGGTTCCTATTTCTTCATCTATAAAATGATGGAGATGGGTTCGCCTGCTTGGTCTCAAAGGGTCTTTTCAGTTATAAAAATAGGACCCTTTGAAATATTGTCAGTGTGGGTATATGAAAGAAAAATAAAGATGAGAGATTCAGGGTTGAGGGTAAGGTACTGGGCATAGTTAATGATAGTAGGCATGAAGAACAGTCATGGGAGTGTCTACCTGCAATTGGAAGCAAATATCACTTTCAATCGTTTCTCCATCCTAACAATCAAAATATGCCCATGTCTCATATCTCAAGAAACCCACAAAAAATACCCACGTGTACAAGCTCGCCTCCTGAAGAAGCTGTTAGTTTACAAAATTCATCTAAACAACATCATTGTGTGCATAATGGGTACAAGGATATGGAAATAAATAAGACACAGTTCCTGACCTCAAAGAGCTCACAGTTTGGTAGTAGAAGCTGATATAGGTAAATAAGAGCAATAAATCTTGTAAGTGCCAGGGTAGAAGTCAAGTCAGGGGAAGGTGGGGGCTCTAATACAGTGTCACAAGTCAGTTTCCCTGGAAAACAGCCTGTCAGATGGAGCCTTGAGTGCTGGAAGCTTTTTGGATGAGTATTTTCAAGGAGAACACCTGTGAGGGAGAGAAGACTGTAGGATTGGGCAGAAAGAATTAAAAACTGCAGTGCAGTCAACAAAGGCCTCAACCAGTCTTTGGGGGAGCTCTAGAGCTGGTATGACCCTTCAGTATTGTCCAGAGTTAAGATGAGGAGTCTAGGCTGTTCTACCTCCATGCGGAACAGTCATTAGGTTCAGTCTCACCCATGGAAGGGGGCACAGTGTGTAATAATAATTGTTTAACAGTCAGATCTTTAGAGGGAAAAAAATTCTGATTTGTAGTGTTTGCTGATTTCCATAGTGTAATCATTCCCACAATGGTCAATATCAAGCTAATAACATGATGTTAACTGCCTCACAAAATCTCTGAAAATTGAACTAGCCAAAGTGAGCCCCAGCACACTTCTGAGAGGATGTAACCTTGAGAGAGGTGCCTTTCCTTAGTTGAGATCAACTTTCAGAGAAAAATCAGCTATCAGCTTCTAACACACCCAGCAGTGGGTAGAATGAGTGCTTCAGTACTGAAGTGTGTATCTTGATGGCACATCATAATAGCATCTACTACATGTAATATATGTTAAAGTATTTGCTGTATTGCAATCATCACCAAACACTATTTCTATTTAACATTTTCCATGTAGTAAAGTCACTTTAATATCCCTTTAAGTAAATTAAATCAAATTGTATCATTGTTGAGTAACCTTGAACAAATCATTCAATCTTTGATTTGCAGAAGAAAGATGCTACTACTGATCTACTTGTTGAGGATACTGTTGGACAAACTGGTCAACTGAAACCCCTGACTAAACTCATTTCCCCCCACTCAATGGACCTGTGACTATACTAATTTGACCAAACTAATTTATTTTTAATGTTGCAGCCAAATGTAGAGAGTGAGAGGTCTTCAGTTCTACTTTCTCTAAATCCAACTCTTGCATTGTCAAACCTCTCTGGCACTCCATTTTCCCGTTATACAATGTGTGATTATAAACAAGTGAGGCTGAATTCCTTGTGTGGCTCATGAACTAGCTTAAGATTTCTAAAAAAGCGTGAACATCAGAATACATGCAGCACCTCTTATTGTAATTATTTTAAAGGAGTTACTAATGGTCATTTGAAAACTCATGTTATGCTGTGGTGTGTGCGTATGTATATGGTATGTTTAAATCAACTTTGTAACTTATTAGTTACACTTTAAAAAAGAAAGATATCGGCTCTAGCTCAAAGGGAAACTCTTTAGGGTGCTTAGCAAGTGTAAAAATGGCGTTTGAAAATAGTTGAAACAATACGTAAATGCCAAAGACAAGTCATTGAATGTAGTTAAGCACACTTAAGTTTCTGAGATTAAAGGTTCAGTGTAAATGTGTATAATTAATATTTACCAGTAGCAATAGAGTATTTGCCTTTCTTCAAGGAGCTCAGAATACTTGCCAGGCATTATCTAATTAAACTACTCAATGTACCTGTAAAATTCGCTGGAATCTAAATTTTAAAGATGTGGGCACTGAAGCACAAGTGGGCTTAAACTAAACTTATTTAGCATGCCAAGGGCAAAATTGGATATAAGACTTTCAGTCTCATGATCTAGCTGCCATTTTTCAACCGTGGCCCCCTTGAATCCACTCCATTCTAGCATAACCTTGCCAAATAACATAGTTTCATAAGTCTAGGAAGAATTAAATTGAATGCATAGTAATTCCAATTATAGGGAAGTTAGATTTTAAAAAGTTGAACTTCTCACCCATAATATTACAGACAGTATATCCTTAATCTGCAAATCTGAAATAATGTTCCAAAATTGAAAACTTCTGAGCACCAACATGGCACTCAAAGGAAATACTCATTGAAGTGTTTTAGATTTTTGGATTAGGCATGCTCAGCGGGTAAGTATAATGCAAATATTATACTTAATATCCCAAATAAAAGAAAAGTCTGAAATCTGAAACACTTCTGGTCCTAAATAGTTTGTATAAGGAGTACTCAACTTGCAGTAACATTTAGAGGTCAGTAAGTTAGTGCTATTAGTTGTCTATAATGACCTTGGTAAGGATGAGAACAGTTGGTTAAAATCTGTTAGAGTACATGTGTATAGGAGACGTACGATAAAAAGCAATAGAGGTTGTGGTAACATCTCCCATTCTCTCTTATTATTTTCTCTTCTAATTCTTAGGTGTATAGTAGCTACTATTTATTATGTGCTAGGTACTAAGTAAATGACTTGTCTCCTTTCTTCAATCATCACTACCCCTCCATAAGTACATATTGTCTCCATTTTATGGAGGAGACAGCTAGAGGTTGAGTAATTTAACAAAGAATACACAGTTAAAACTAGTGGTGTTACGATGTAAAGCTAATTTTTCCAACCCTAAAACCTCTTTTTATGCTACTTCCTATTTATTATGCTAGTTCTTGTTCCTGTCTGGTATTAGGCTCTGCAGCCTGTGGGCATGTCTCTCTTGTCACTATCCCTAATCCAGAGTCCATGAACATGCCTAAGCCTCAGCTCAGGACAACATCTTGCTTATCTTAGAGCCATAAGAAACCATTTACAAATTGGTTAGAACACATTTATTTTTCCTATCTGTAGTTTTTGGTACTATTTTACTAACAGATTGCTGCCATAACCTCCTTGCTTTGTTGGTTTCAGTAATCATCATGTGTATGCATTCAGCTTTGATTGGGGGAGAGACTCAGATGCATCTCTTGGAATGCGCTCATGATCTGAAAATGACTGATGGAACCTACGTCTTTGTTCCCTATGATGCCCTGCTCTACAGTTTACCTTATAAGCACACCCCCTACCAGGTCCTAAGGAACAACCCAAAGCTCCGGGAAGCCTATGACGCAGTGTTGACCATTACAGTGGAGTCCCAAGAAAAAACCTTCTATCAAGCCTTTACAGAGGCAGCAGTAAGAGGTGAAATTCCTGAGAAGTTGGAGTTCGATCAAGTAAGTGCATATTAGTGAGTTATCATAAGCTGAGAACCTAAAACATCAGCATGGTAAATTACTTTCATACCAAGTTTCAATTCCATAAGAAACCCAATCAATGGCAGGCAACCACTGACAAATTAAAAACATCTTTAGTTTGCTGAAAACATTTGTAAAACAAAGGCACATTGTTGGAGATTTTTTTTTAATCTTTAAGCAGCCCACGATGACGTTATATAGTCAGGAAGAATAAATACATTTAAGAACAGAGAAAAAGAACTTTAATATATACTGGTGCTGTTCAACGGAGCCTAATGAAAAGAAGCCCTGTTTGTGATGTAAGGTCTGAACCAATTTAACAATTAGGCAAAAGAGCTAGTATATAAGAAACTGTTACTTTTATTATTGATAACACTGGTATTGGACGATGCGGCTTCTACCTGTAAGCATTTGAGCTTCCAAATACTGAACCCAAGGATTCAACAAACTTCTCCATCTAGTCAATGGCATTGCTGGACCACTGCAGTCCTGCCCCATGAGAGCAGGCCTTTTGTAAAATGTATAGTCTGGAGAAGAACAGCAGAGCATATGCTTCCTTTAGGTAGTCTGCTCCCAAAAGAAAGAAGACAGCAGGGGCTGAGCTACACAATCTTAGTTCTCCTTCCAAACTAACTAGCCAGATTAAATCACTTCTCCTTTGTGGGGAGGAATGAGTAAGTGGGTGAAGACAGGCCAGTTGGAATGGGGAAGAAGTTCTCCCTTCTGCTATACAAGACATAGTATTTATATATGTGTACATAAATGTATGTATAGACATATTTCAGATTGCAATCATAGCCACTGAAGGCTTAGAGAAAGAAAAAGGAATAAGGAGGATAAGAAAGTAGAGAAAAGAATGGAAAACAAAGACAAAAACAGGAAGAATAAAAAGAAGACAAGGAATATGAGAGGAAGATGGGGAGGCAAAAGAAGCCATTTAGATTGGAAAAAATACAAAGGGAGGTTTCTGTGCATTGGAGATCAGATATAGAAAGTAGGCATTTTCAAAAGTACTTAGAACATCATATACATAAGTTTAAAAGCTCTGGCATTTCCTAGAATACTGTATTAGTTATATTGCTTCTGGCTGTAAGTAATAGCTCAATACAAAATGGTTTAAATAATAATTCTTTTTCAAAATTTGAAGATAGGAGGGCCCCAGGGTTGGTTAATTCAGCAGTCAATAATGTAATCAATGAACCAGGTTATTTTCATTTTTCCACTTTACAAGCTATAGCATGCTAAGCTTGCCCTGATGAGCCGGTTCCTCTTATGGTCCCAAGGTGGCTGCCACAGTTCCAGACATCACATATAGGTGAAAATGTCCAGAGGTGAAAGTAGAGACTGTCTTTCTCTTGTGTCTCTTTTTAAGACTGAAGAAATCTTTCTCAGAATCTCACCAAGCAGAATTCTTCCCATACTTTCTTTGTCACGTTTCTGTCCTATGCCCATGTCTAAACCAATAACCTAGAAGGAGGAATGTGACCACCGTGATTGAAAAATGTGAACAAAATATATAGCTGCTGGAAAAATGTGAACAAAATTGAGATTCTGTTAGCAAGAAAGAAGGCTGTTAGGTAGGCAGTTGATTGTGTCTGATATTCATATTCTTTTTCATCGGTCCTTTATTTCTTTATCCTGTGGGCTGCTTCTCTGTCTGAATAGTGATTCAAGTGAAACTTAGGTTTATGTATCTTTCTGCCTGGAGGAGTTATAGCAAAGATTTTGCTGATTCTTGTTCTAATAAAAAAATTAATAATGGAGATATTAACAATACTGGATTTGGACTTTATTGTTACTGATAAGTTTATAATAAGTATTACTCTCTTTTAGGAGACACACATGCATGCGTGCACACACACACACACACACAGCTAAAAACAACTGGTCAGTTTTGTCAAGAACGCCTCAAATTGCTCAGAATGGTTAGTCAAACCAGTTGTTTGATGTGTTTATAGGCAAGCAACCAGATGGTGAATTTTTGTACTTCTTAACCGGTGGTATGGCATCACATATATACAATGGAGGTAATTTTTGTATTTTAATCAAAGGATAAAAGGAAGGAGGGGGTATATGTGTGCACATGTATGTATGTGTATGTGTATTGTTCACACACACACATATATATATGAACAGGTATTTTCACATAAAAACTCAGACTTTCTTCTCTTGATATTTGCGTCAATCCCTTTGAGCTTGTGGAAAACATAAGGTAATTAAGGCAAAAAAAAGATGCCATTAGCTTGGTTGCTAGGCAGCCTGCACTCTGCTTTAAACAAGGAAATAGAGAGAAGAGCTACAACAAAGAACACAGAGCTTCTGAAAAAGCCTGTTTGGATGCATTTGTGCCCCTCACTTCGCATGTGCTCAGTCTGGACCTTCATAACTGAAGAATGATAAAAGGATGAGATAATTATGTTCCTGTCTCTGATAAACAAAACCCCCACTTTCCCTAAATTATCTTGTTCAAAGGTACTTTAGAAGGTAGCCGGTATAGCAGAAACTGCATGTGATAAGGTGTTAGATAAGCTTGGGTTTACATCCCAGCTCTCATTTTTACTAGCTGTGTGCCCTTGGGCAAGTTACGTAGACATTTGAGTCTCAGTTTCTCCACGTGTAAAATGGGTTAGTGAGCTATGTCTTCTAGAACTACCATGAAAATTGAACAAAGTAACATGTAAAAAGTGACTATCAGAGTGCCTGGCTCACAGTTACCTTTCTCTCCACTTTTTCTCCTTTGAGACTAGGATAACTTTATTGATTGGTGATGACTTGGCATCTAAGTTACAATCTGACTTCAGCTTCCTACTCCATTGAAGTTTTCTGATTACTGGCAGAGAGGCTCTCAGTATTTCCAGCTTTCAAAATTATAAATGGTATATTCTCAGATCAAATTATGTGGTTTGATATTTGTCTATATCTGGGCTTCTATTATTTTTTCCCTATTTGATCAACAGGTCAACAACTATTTATTGAGCACCTGTGATGTGCTCGGCACTGTGTTGAACCCTAGGTAGAACACTAAGCAAGACAGACAGGGTTTCTAGCAATGGTATGTTAGAGCCAGTCTAGAAAATCTGATTCTGTGCATCTTTTCCTAGCTCTGCATTCAGTGACATCAATTGGTAGCTTGAAATCAGGCATGATAGTAGTAGTTACACCACAGAAATGGACAAATGTTACAAATAAGAGCTTTTCCCCTTTTTATATAGCTCTTGTCAAACATTTGCTAGCACATCACTTGTTGCCACCCTTATAGACCTTAATTTTTAGTGAGAGAGACAGATAATATATGGTTAAGCAAATGCATTAACAAGATGGCAATGTTTCTCCTTTGCCCAGTAAGTTTCCAACAGAGATTTCTATATATAAGGAATATTGTCTATAGCAGTGGTTTGCAACATCTTTTAATTTATACTCTTGCTTCTTTAACAGGTAAAAAATGAACAGAAAGCTATGAAAGTGATACATACACATAGTTTTAAAAGTCAAGAAGTGCTAAAAGGTTTATATCAATAACAAAGCAGCCCTTAAGGCCTCCCTTCTTCCCTTCATCAGAAGCAACCACTTTCATTTTTTTTTAAGCTCTTTATGCTGGTATTTACTTCTGTGTTTCCAAATGCTATGCTACTACTGGTGACTCTTGATTAATCAATTTTGAGCATTATTTGTCACATTCCTATTATAGTTGAGGAGCACTCAGCCTTTTTGTAGTTCCTTACTCTCCTTTCAACCTTCAATGTGCTTATATCACAATTTTTAGTTAAATCCATATTTAGTATTTTTAACATAGTACCTACATAAATATCATTTATTACTGATCCACGTGATATACTATGGTTATAATTCTTGTCACATGTAACTTTTGATTTTTACTGGGGTTAATTATTGCTTTATTTTTTAATTTGGTACCTTAATTTGAATGTCTAAGTCTTTCCACACTTTTTGTTACGGCTGTAAAATCCCCTCAAAACAATTTTATACATAGTAAAGCCTGTTAAATTCTTTATCAATTTTATTTGTTTTTTCCTGGGGCTCTCTGTCTTCTCATCCCCATCTAAACATGTTGCTCCCTAAGGCTGCTGCACAAATATAAATATTATGCTAGTTCTCTATTTTCATCATTCTTAAAAGTCTCTTTCTCTTCTGTGCAGGGTCTACTGTTTTATGAATCTTGTGATCTATTTTCTTGGTTTAATTTGTCATTTTTGTGGAGCACATCTTGTAGTAGCTTTTTACAGGAGGTAAATTTTTGAGATTTTGCATGTCCAAAAAGTCATTATTTCATCTTCGCTATTGATTGATATTATGAATGAGTATATAAATCTAGGGTAGAAAACATTTTCCCTCAGTACTTTGAAGACATGGCACATTGTCTTCCAATTTCCACTGTTGGTGTTGAGAACACCAATGTTATTCTTATTCCTAATCTTTTGATACAACCTATTTTCATTCCTCTTTATGCCCTCAGAAACTTTTAAGATGTTCTCTTTATTTCTGATGCTGTGAAATTTCATGATGATACAGGAATGTTTGACACATAATATGCTGTATTGGTGGAGACTTTCAATCTAGAAGCTGATTCCTTTGAGAAATTTTCTTCTATTGTTTATCTGATAATTTCTTCAACAACATTGTCCTTCTTCTCTCTGGAAATACTATACAATATATAAGATATAAGATTTCCTGGGTTGATCTTTTAATTGCCTTATTTTTATCTTACATGGTCCATATTTTTGATTTTAGTTTTCCTTCCTGGGAGAGTTTCTCATCTTTGTGTTCTAACACTTTGACTAATTCTTTTTTTTTCCTTTTGAGAGGAAGTTTCACTCTTGTTTCCCAGGCTAGAGTGCAATGGTGCAATCTCGGCTCACTGCAACCTCTGCCTCTTGGGTTCAAGCAAGTCTCCTACCTCAGCCTCCCAAGTAGCTGGGATTACAGGCATGCACCACCAGGCCTGGAAAATTTTCTATTTTTTA